TTAATTCTTCTGTCAGGAAATTCCTCCTCAGTTCTAAGCTGCTTCTCTCCTTCATTAGTTTCCACCCATTGCTTTTTGTTCTGCCCTCAGGTGCCCTGGAAAATAGTTCGACTCCCTCTTCTTTGGTGCAACCCCTGAGATATTGGAAGACTGCTATCCTGTCTCCCCTGGTCCTTCTTTTCATTAAACTAGACATGCCCAGTTCCTGCAACCGTTCATGTTCTCGTCTTCAGTCCCCATCTTTGATGATCTTCTCTGCACTCTTTCCAGAGTCTCCACATCTTTTCTACATCGTGGAGACCAAAACTGGATGCAAATATTCCAAGTGTGGCCTTTCCAAGGCCTTATAAAGTGGTATTAACTCTTCACGTGGTCTTGATTCTCTCCCTCTGTGGATGCAGCCTAGAACTGTGTTGGCTTTTTTTGGCAGCTGCTGCTGGCTCATATTCAGGACTCTAGGACCACTAGGACTCCGAGATCCCTCTCGCAGTTACTACTATTGAGCCAGGTACGACCCAGACTCTACGTAAGTAATAACTCCGTAGAACTCCGAGGCAGACAAGTTCCTCCAAGAACAATTTTATTGGATGTATCATATTGGCAAAGTACTGGTGAAAACCAACTCTGGAATTTCCCGCAGGTTTTCACCTGATGAAAAATTGGAAGTTCCCCCCTTTCTCCAAACGATCAGCCACACTGTCCCATCAAGGTTGTGGCTGGTTGCTCGGTAACTGGGATCCTCCTCTCCCCAGGCACCTGTCAGAATGTCCTTGTTTCCTACAGGAAACTCCATTTGTTTGACCACAAACCCCCATCTAACTATGTCCCCCGTCCCTCTCCATTCCTCACACCGTGGCAACCCTGAAGCCGCCACAATGGCCCCAGCCAGGCTGGCTTCAGAGTTGGCCCCCCTGTACCTCCTGCGGGTTAGGTTTTTCTTGCCTTAGCGCTTTCTTTCGAGGCTTCAGCAGCCTCGACCCCAGACAGCTTCCCCTTCCCTGGACGGTCGGCCTCAGCTGTCCAGACCTGCCAGGGGAGGTCACGGAGGAGGCCTTGGCCAAGCGGCCTCTGGAGAAGGAAGCCGCTTGCCAGAAACAGCCAGGATCAGGCAGCCACTGGAGAAGGCAGAGACTGACCAACAGCCTCGGCTGCTAGAGAGAAAGCCACCTGGGAAGAGAGCCTTTCTCTTTCCCCATTCTGGAATCATCTTTATCTATTGTATAGCTCTACCTCTATCATCTCTATCTTTTATCTATCTATCTATCTATCTATCTATCTATCTATCTATCTATCTATCTATCTATCTATCTATCTACTGTATAAAAGGCAAATACCACTCACTCATCATGAAATCTCCAGAACTGTAAAGCCTATAAACTTGAAACCTATTAAATGAAAAAGAATTTCAGCAATATATGGAAAAAGAATTGAACCTTTTTTTTTTAAAGGAGAATAAGAAG